CAGAAATTTTAATTAAATTCAGCTTTGATAAATACGAGGAGTAAAGTATTTTATTTGAGCAAAAATTTGAAACTTTTTAGACTAATCAATCTAAATAACCCAAGCATCAATGGAATGTCGATGAATGGATGGATAAATTTATACTGACGTCATATGGCAGTCTAATGACAATCTAACGACATAATATGTGTTTTCTTTTCGCAAGTTTACGCAAAATAGAGTTTCAAATGTGTAAGGGAGTAAATAAAAATAGTTTGATTGGTAAGTATGTAAAATCTACAACCCAAACTACAAATCTTCCATTCTCATATTTCAATAAAATATTAAAATTTATTTCATAAAGTCACACTTTTGAATGCGTGAAATATTATGATATACACATCAACTTCTGTATATTTTACTATTATTTAACAACATTTAGTGCATTACACGATTTGGACTATAACTCCTCTAGAATTTCCTTCTATTCCTTATTTCTATATTCCTCATTACTATTGCTCTTAAGTTCCCCAATTCTATTCCTTTTATATATTCTTCGATATTGCTCAATTGCATACTCTCTTCAGAGTATCAAATTCTTTGAATTGTATTCCTCAAAGGATATACTCCTTTCAGAGTATTCTTCTGAGTTCAGAATCACTGTCATCTTCTATTCTAATATACATATAATGTACGTAATGTACGTAATGTACAATGACGAAGCAGGGCGCCTGCGAGAACTGTAGCAATGCTGTGTTACGAGTTATAATAGTAAGTTTCCTCGCTCATCTGACTTTGATCTTAATAGTGTTCTCGCTTCTCTCTATTCAGACAGTGATATCTCTGATAACATGTACTTCCTGTGTAAACCGCAGTAACTCTATATTGTTACTTAAAGTATATCAGTTTGGGTTACATACTATGGTTCAGATTTTGAGATTAAATAATTTTAAGAATTTGTTGCTCAGATCTGATTTAAGATCTGTATATGACAATATTATAGTTGTTTTGTTTGGTTGGTTTAAATAACGGCAAAGTTTCCTCTACTACTGTTAATAAACGCTTGGAATTCCTAATCTTGGCTTAAATAACTGATTCTGTTTCTTATCAATTAAATGTAGTAAATGAAGACCAATCATAATAGTATTCACAGTTCTACATTTGAGTACAATTAGCTCCACTTTTGCTGTAACAACTATGGTACAACCCCAAAATGCTCGACCAAGCATTGAGTTACTGATTTTGATTATCAGTGGCTCTAGTTATTATTAATTTTGTGATACTAATTGAGTAGCAGTACTGTTACAGTGACATATCACAAACAGAACTTTTAACTGAAACATAATACATTAAGTTTATCATTTGCAATATGTATCGTTTAACAATCGCTGAACATTTTGAAATTTATTACAAAAATTTTTATCAAATGTTCTTCAATAATAAAGTTAATTTCTCTCTTGACAGATATACGAACAGTTTATAATAGCCTTATTTGGAATTCTAAAAATATATAGTTCTGTTCAAAAATCATTGCTTGCAAAAAAAGTCATTATATGTCATTGTATAGGACTGAATCTGAATGTGTGACAGGTCCATACTTTTTTAAAAATTGCAAAGGTGTGACAGGGCAGCCACGTGCTTATTATTATTAATAATAATTAAATTGATAATATTTAAGTACTAAGTATTTGACATGCAAAGTCAGTCATATGGGCCAGCTCTCTGAACCGTTTTTGGCAAAAACGGGCATCAAACATTGGTGCATTTTATCCCCTTTTCTCTTCATACTTGTCTTACATTGAGGTGCTCAAATCTGCATGCAAACGACGTAAAGGTATACAGTAGAACCCTTTGGAAACATGAAAAGCAACAGAGTCATTACAATACCGGTTCCAGTGCATTTCAAATAAGGATTTTTGGGAACGCAACAAAAACCTGTAACACATTAGATACGGCAGCATAAGTGGAACTGAATATTCCAGCACTAACTTCGCGAAACAAACGTTTCGGTGGAATTAGAAATTAATTAATATTAATCTGAGGTAATAGATGCCAAGGGGTCTCATCTATGACTTCGAGATGAACCAACGAAAGAGAGTTTCGTACCGCTAATTATTCTTGAAATAATATTACCATAAATATTCAAAATAAAAACTTAAATTAATTGTAGAGGCTCTATGTTTCACTTAGGAGAAAAGAAACATATCATCATCCAATATTGGAATGATATGTAGTTTCAATATGACGGTGGCACAAGCCACATAACACGTTATGCATTAGCTTCGTTGGGTGGATTTTGCTCGATTTTGTCTAATCACACGTTTTGGTAATGCGAATTGGCATATGTCACCATTAGACTATTTGTCTAGGATTTATGAGGAAACCTTAAATTCTGGACTCTTCAATTTAACTTGATAAGCTTCTATCAAGTTATGGCCGAGCTATACCAGTTAAATATTTTTATTAATAAATCAATAAAAATTATGAAGGATTTAGTACTGTAGTACTGTAAGATGTTCAATGGAAGACATTTAAATGATGTTGTAATTTATACCTAGAAACAAGTTCCAAGCAACTTATGTTTACTTCAGGATAATGATAAATCCTGTATACTTTATATAGCAAGGATTTGGTTTACTAACAATAAATAGCACACAGCTACCTTTTAGCTATTTAAAGTACAGGTGTTAAAGCGTAAAGGTACTTTTCATTTGCAAAATAAATATATGACTGATTTCGTTTCCAACTTGAGAATCGACACCTTGGTATCTTGAGATTCTTATTTGTAAGTATTTAACGTTTTTTTGATTTTACTAGTTTATGAAACTAGTGACTCTAGTAAATGTTAATCTATTTAATCAATTAATAAATGTTTTATGGTGCCAAAAACGGTCGGATATATGGTATGTTAGCTTCGACGACTAAGTGCCGTTCGCCACACCGAAAAAGCACTACACAAGCAGATCCCTGCGGGTTATAAGAACAATATAAACATTTTAGCTTGTATATAACTAACTCTCTTTTTATCTTTCTTATTGTGTAATTACGTCTATTTAGAAAAATCCAGAGAAATACGATAATTCCGTTAACTAAAGGATTACTAAAAGTCCTAAAAATGTACAACTTTAAATTGGCATTTAACACATATCTTATATTAAAAGTGTTCTTTAAATCACAATCGAATATTCTAACCATATAATCAGTTTAATTAAAATAACATTAGTAACATTTTTCTTTTATTGTTTTTAATTATTTTTAAACTTTAACATTACAAAATTTTATTCAAAAATGAACTATGGACAGTAACTTTGCTTTGCACAAACAAAAATGCAATAAAAAAAAAATGAATGTGTACATACACGACAGTATTATAATCAAAACAGATTTTTTTTAAAAACAATATCATTAATTTTACAATTTTAAAAATAATTTTCTTAATTTCAGTGTAAAGTAGGCATACTAATATATATAAATTACATAGCAGCATCTTTATTTGCTTTAACTTGTATTTTTATATTGAATTTCCTTTCAATTGTAAATTTTGTTTCGATTTTAAGGTTTTCACTACTAAAATATTACAAAAAAAAAATACATATTTAATTAATTAAATTTATATATATTATAATAATATTTAATTAATTAAATTTATATATATTATAATAATAATAATAATAGTTATAACTTTAATTATAATAAGCTAAAAAGTAAATACTATAAAATATCGCAAATTTTATTTTATGTATATATAATATATATATACGATTTCTTTTATTTGCTTTTAAATAATGTATAATTTATTATATATATAATGTTTTAAATTAATTAAATTATATCAAATAATAATAAATTTAATAACAAAATGAATAATTAAGTTTTGCGTTGATTGTATGATTTGCTTATGAATAGCTATAAATTTATTTATTTTTTAACTATGAGATGCGAATGCAGCTATTAAGGCCAAATTTTTTCATTTGCATATTTATTGGAATATCGATAATTATACAATAAAATGAGTGCATAAATGCACATTTTTAATATATATATATATAAATATAGATATTGCAAACATAATACATAAATATTTAATTAGCACATACAATATAAACTTCAATGTATATAGTATATATGTAAATTAAATAATGTAAACTTATATGCATAATTTTAATTGACGTGCACATAAAGAGTGTACATGTTTATTATGCGTTCTTGATTTTAATGTGTTTTTATATATTTAATATCTGTATATATTTAATATCTGTATATATTTAATATCTGCATATATTTAATATATATATAAATACATATTTAAATAGTGTTTGTTGCTTACTTTTACTAATAATTTAACATTTTATTGTATTTAAGATTTTTAATTATTTAGTTTTTATTATATTTTGAATTATGTTTTATATAAATTAATTTGTTTGTATAATTTTTAATTCTACAAAAGCATTTACCAATTATTTTAAGGAAATTATTTATAAATTATACAGATACATATATTTCTCTGACGTAAACTAACTGGAACTTAGCGAATACAGAATTAATATAAATAATAATTTAGCATTGTATAAATATTTAAATAGTATTAAATAATTTTTTCTTTGTAATAATAAAATAATACGTTATTATGCATTTATGCTCGTTTACATAAATATGAAGTGTAAAGTTCATACATTTAAACATAATTTTGTGTACTTAAATTAAATTAAAGAATATATTCGTTGTAACTAAGTGACCTTTCTCGAAATCATATGGAAAAGATACAAAACAAAACAAAAAGATATCCCAAATATGCAATTAAACGCTTAATAGAAAATATTTCGAGTTTCGAAATCATAAAATTAATATTGATAATTCGTTGCTTATTGAATTTTGCATATTTAATTAAACAAAATTTTAATTAACAACTAATTTCTTTTTTATACTTTGCAAACATTAAAAATATTATTTGCTTTATTTCGCTTTTTAACTAAAATTATAAGGTTTTAGCTTTATAAGATATAAATATATATATATATATTATAAATATATTCATATATATATATAATTTTACGTATTTTATTAATAAATAGCAGCCATAGAAATTTTTAGAGGCGTGTGTAGTGGTGTAGTGTGGTATAGTAAGTGTTGTATATGTATGAGTTTTTGTGTATGCTTATACTTCGAGAGAAGAGGTAGACCGCATAAAAGTAATAGCTGTCCCTCTTCTTAAGGCGTCTTGAATACCAGTACCCAGTTTAATCCTTAGGCTTTCCTCATGTTCGGCTTGTGGTATTGATTTTTTGATAAAAATAATTCTTGCCGAACTGTTTTTGCAGCTTGTAGGATTTTCCCATTAGGAACTTTGTAATCGATTGTATGTAATTGCGTATATCGTTGCGAAAGTACTCGTCGTGCAAATGTATCGATATCACTTCAATTTGAACTTTGTCAAAAGGCAGCGTTTGTAAAATCTGTAAGAAGAAAAAAATTTCATTAGTACTTATAAAAAACAGAATAAGTAAGATTTCTCACGATCTATGTTAAATATAGTAAACTCATATTAAAGTTTTAAATAAGTGTTGAATAATTTATACTTTGCATTTTAGGTCGTGTGCGAGTTCGAGTAAATTGAGTTAAAGTAAATTGAAATTTCCTAGGGATTTTTCCAACTGCACTTATGTAAATATTTATTTATTTATTTATTCATTAAACATCTTATAAAATTTTCACAATGGTAACACCTAATTTACCTAATTTTTATCTAATTTATCCTACTCGAAATTCTGGTAAATACCAACATTTCCTGCTCCACCGACATAATTTCCTATTTCCCTCAATTTACCATCAGTTTACTTCAACTCGCACACGGCCTTAGAAAAGCATTAAAGTCGATTTGTTAAACTCGGGAAAAAGAAGACTTGTATGTTTGGTACAACATTTGTTTTAAAAGAAAATCAATTTGGGTTTAAAGAATACTTGCATTCGTTAATTCTAAGAATACTTGCAGTCTTTGAACCAAAGAGTATTTGCAATCTTGAAATCAAAGAATACATACATTTTTCGGCTGAAAAGTACATCATTACACAACATCAAATCTAAAAAATTATTCTTAGAACTACTAGTCACCGAGACCTTCAACTCGACGATGTATAGTTAAATATGAAAGTTTAGCTAAGGATTAAATGCATTTCATGAAATTACAATGCTCATTAAAATTAACATAATTATTAAAATTTGATCCGGATTTTATATTTAATAAGTTAGAATATAATAATAGTTGATGAAATTAAAAATCTTTAATATAAGCTAAAGATATGCAGTTGCCCAGGATATGATCTACGGTTATTAATTCTTAACATAAGATAAAGATGGTGCTTTAGAGCTAAGAAAGAACACTACCATTTTTCGGTTCAAAGAATTCTCGTTTTCTTTCGTAACCCCCTGAGATCTGCTGTAATAGTCTATTTTGGACATCGTGACTGGTGCTTGAATATTAAATCGAAATTAAAGAGTGGCCGGCCGCTTTTGGTATCAGGTATACTAGGATTTCTTGGTTGCAAATATATTCGAATTCTTGGTTCAAGATGTGTTAGAGTAAACATCTGGAGCAAGATATGGTATCCTACAATGTGATTTTTGGATGTTTTTTTTGGAGTTTTAACTCCTAGCTAGTTCAATTTATTTATTAAATATTGTTTATTACAGTTTTAATATATATTCTATTGGGTTTTGTGAAATCAGCTAGTCTATGAAGCCAGCTACAATGCTTTGGATAGGTATTTAAGGATTTAGTTGAAATGATTATATTATTAATTAAATCAATTAAGAACTTGATTTAAAAAAAATTATATTTCATGTAATTTGCAAATCACATAAATTTAATTATCTAAATATTTCACTCTAATCAAAAGATTTTCCATAATGAATAATTGATGTGTGTTTATTTCTTCATTTATAATGTATTTTTTAATAAATAATAAATTTCTTTATTTATTTGCTAAATAATAAATCTCTTTTTAAATAATTTAAGAGTTTTCCTGAGTTTAACAAATCGAGTTCAACAAAAAATTTATAAGTGAATTTTTATTCTATTTATATAAATCTATTTATTAATTTTATATTGTAGTAGTTTTATACTAGAACTATTAAAACATTATTTTTTACAACTATATTTTAAATAATTTTATTTAATACTTTAACAATTGAACAAAAATCTTCAGAAACCTTGATATATTATTATAAAAATGTATATGATATGTTATTATATATGATATTATCATTAAAAATTAATATAAGCAAAATTCTTATTAAATATAAAATCGAAATTCTTTCATATTATATAAAATACTAAGTAAACAATATCATTTTAATAAATAACTATAAACCACACACTATATTATTGAAACCTATTGTAGTTGTTGTCAATTTTGAATAGGAGAATCAAAAAACTGAATGAACATCTAATCTGCTACTTATAGGAATTTTAATGGACGAGTAGAAGAGTAGAATTATGGACTTAAACTATTAAGGTTAAACATTTGGAAAATGATAGGAATAATAAAATCATTTTAATAAACTATACCATAGAAAAAATGACATGAATGGAATACAAATATGTTTATATAGGTTCGGATCTGGGTATATAATTATAGTATGAGAGGGGACAGAATTGTTTAGTAGCTAAAATGGTTCGGATGTTGGTGGAATATAAATTAAAGGCAAACGCAAAGCCGGAGAAATCTAAGCACCTATGTCTTTATAGCTTATTGAGATTTATGTCAATTGGAAGTGATGGTGAGGAAATAGAAAGTACGCCCAACCAACTAAACAACCATAGCAGCAGAATATTAATAATAAGGTATTATGGTTAGAGATGTGATTTAGAAAGACAGTATTAATATAATTTCGGAGAAGTATTAGGAGATCTAGTTTAAACTCTAACAAGACTTAAAAAATTTATCACCTCGCTGGGATATATATTAATCTCAACCATTTATATGTGCTGTAGAAATACTAAACATGCAGATAGATGGGTGACATTATGGTATGTAGTGTTGCAATTTGACAATATATTATAAAAACAGACAGATTACTTATTTTGTGTTAAATTATTAGAAATTATATTATAATATGAATTAGATAGATCTCAGTATAGTGATATAAGAAATATATCTGGTGAGAAGCAGGTCAGAATAAAGTAAGGAAATATATTAATATAATATATTCATAAATCTCATTATAACAATTAAACTGTAAACTGTATAGTATTTAGACTATGTTATTAAGATAGTCATATGACATATAGGATGGTCATATATAGTAACCATCTACAGTTTACGCTTGTCATTACCAAGGATGACACCGTGTTATTTCGAAAGTCAAATTTTAATTTAATAAAAGTTTAATTTGACTTTAAATAATTTTATTTAGACAGTCAGTTTCGTGCTATTACTAGTAATTGAATACTTTTTGGCTATATTTGAATTTAAAAGATAATATTTAATAATATATTTGTATACTATTTCATAAAGAGGCGAAATTTTTAACATATATTGTATTAGTAGGCAACATTATTTTTCTTACATGACAAGGAATAGAAAAGAATTTGTTGCCCTGAGCATAATTTCATAGAAATTCACTTTCTAGTTCTTAATGTCAAACTTTTACAATAATTTACTTTGAAAACAACAACAATTTGATATGACTATGACTACCTGTATAAGTACGGCCCCAGTCAAGGTTTTAACTAACATCAATTAATTACAGAATTGAAAGAAAGAGTAATTTAATTCACAACAAATAATTAGTGTACATAATTACAGTGCATATCTTTCTATTTCAAATAATGTCTTTTAGTTTTTTATTATTAAATATTTTTATAGAAATATTATTAAAAACTAAAGTTATTAAGATATATAATCTATAAAGCTGCTGTTTTGAAATTGTTTAGAATTAAATGGAGTAGTGAATGATATAGGACATACGATTAGGTTATGTAAACATAGATTAAGGACTATTTACAGTGGAAAAAATTCTATTGTTTACATTAATATTAAAAGGTTAAGACTATATTATAAAAATTGTTTATATGAACTATTATAGTAATAGTTAATAAGATGCTTGCATCTGCTACTATTATAATTTAACCAATTATATTTATTAATAACATACTTTTTTATATTTGAAATGCTAATTTCTTATGTATTTTATAAGAAAAGAAAAATTTTGCTTTAATTAATTCGTTAATATCGAAGCTTTTAACAGAACTCACCTCCAACTCATGGCCATGCACGCCTAAACTGAGCAGATCGTAAGTTACTCGGTTGCATGCTAGCATTATTGTATAGAGTGGAAAGCATTTAACACGCGAATAAAAGCACGATGTCTCCTCATCAAGTAGACTATTAATTCGCACTTCAGCGTCTTCATTATGAATGGTGACCTGTGCAGGTGGACATATGAAAATTTATAGAGTATTATTATTTTTAATTAAATGAAATGAAATTAACAAAGCACATACCTCTTTCGGATAGGAATTAGGTGAGACACATGCGTGCAATACTTGCATACGATCGCGTTGCGCATTTTGCTTGCGTAAAGTAAAAAATCTTCTTGGTTCCGGCTCAACAATAACTCCCGCCCAATTTAGTGTCTCTGCTAGCCATGGCGCTGTCATAAGATGCCCGAGAGTACCTGGTAATGATTGTATTACTGCGCCATTCATCTTTCCACCCACTAAATCGGCAACATAGTGTGCCATCTCCGGTGTTAATTCATTTTTATGTGCTCCACTAAAATTGAAATGCTGTTGCTGTTGGGGTTCATTACTTGCATCGCGATTCTTGACAAAATGTAATGCATTCTTGGGCATATGCAGCTGTTGTAGAAATTCTATAAGCCGTGGATTATCTTGAGCCACACCATAAAATTCATAGTCCCGTGACATATTCAAACGAAATTGTTGATGGCGAATTTCTGCAAAAGATATTTCAAAAGAGAAAGAAAAATTAATGATATGTTACCAAAAAAATGAAAATTAAAAAAAAACACTAAATAAACTTAACATATATAATTATAAATAAAAGAAACACTAAATATTTTTATAGAGATTATATTTGGATGGGTTGGAAAATCTTTCCATTGGTTAAAAAAAAAAAGTTCTTTAAAGAACTTTACTAGGCTTGCGTAAAATTGGACAGATAATGTACGTTTGGTCTATTGTAATCAGTGACATGTGTCGGATGCATACTAAGACAACTAAAGACGGACATGTTGATTTCCTACTACCCATTCAAACATATGAACCATTCAGCTATATAATTGATTAATATTATCTGAAATTAAAGACAATAAACTATTTAGTTTTCGTTTGATCAAGATTATCCCAAATCGGACATATCCAAATATACAAATCATTCAGCTATCGTTTCATAGGGTTGTTCTAAATAGGATACATCTAAACATATGATATATATAGCTATCGTTTGATTTTGATTTTCAGAAATGGAACATATCCAATTATATGAACTGTAGAACTACTATTTGTTTAAGATTGTCTGAAATGCGAGACATCCAAATATACGCACAGAAAGTGGGATATTAAGCTCAACAAAAAGCAAACTTAATATAATTTTGTTATTATATGTAATACTTTATATATTAACTAAAAAATATATCTGAAAGTTAATTTATTTTACTTCCAATGACCATTAACGGTCCAATCTTTTATAAATAGAATATTTGACTTTTTCTGACTATGTAAATGTAAAAATGTTTGTATAACATCCCTGTTACGTAAATTCGATCATTTGGTTTATTAATGAATTGCTTAACGGAAAAATTTTTTAAATCAGAGTTTGCAACGTTCCACACTTGAGCGCTTTCTTGCATGCACTAAAGTTCCTCTATTCTGTCAAGATTAGATATTTTTTTTAAAGCAATAAAATCTTGTACCTTTTGGAACCTATTAAGCTTTACTTTGATGATTTATTTATTCCGTGATTGCATGTTTGTTTGATGGATTTCGTTTAATGCAGAAACACAACTTTTTGAACCACATCTGCGGCAGATATAGTTTTCCATAAGACCAACCACCATCATAGCGTTTTACAACACTACAAATTTATTTACCTATAACATGCTATGATTTCAGCTATGAATGCTTTATTCACATTGACTTATTCGTGGACTGTTTTAATAGCCACTTATGATTTCACGTTCACATATTGTGCAGTCAAATCATAATATAACGCTTCATTGATAATGATTTGACTATCATTATTACTGAGATATAAAAAATGCTTTCGAAAGCTTGTACTTCGAAAACGACATAATTGTCTTAGGTGAATTATATATGCATTACTGCCAACATTTCAAATATATCAGTTTAAGTTTAGAGTTTTCGTTACAGTTCAATTAGAACATTATAAGTATGAGTGTACATATAATATATTAAAATAATTACACAATATAAATAGATAAATAAATAACAACAAAAGACCATAATATTTTTATAAGTTAACACTAATTATTTTTTTATATGCCGATTTGAAGTCCAGCACTAAAACAAGAACAAAAAGGACCACAAAAGTATTTTAATATTGAATGAAAATGTGACGATACTTTCCCAGAATATATCAAAGTAATGTGTAAGCGAAACAGATATACCAAACAAGAATTATCCTTGCCTGTGAAGGGAAGATCTAGAGACAAATCTTAATGAACACTGTAAAACATGCAGCGATGAAGAGAGTTCTTCATTATAGGATATATGGTAGTGTGATTTGTAATAGGATAGAGTAGGATATAAGGTAGGGTATAGGATAGGATATAGGATAAAATATAAGATAGAATAGAATATAGGATAGGATAGCATATAGGATAGTATATAAGATAAGATAGAATAGGATAGGATAAGATATATGATAGGGTAGGATATAGGATGGGATAGAATAAAGGATAGAATATAATATAGGATAGGATATACTATATGTTATAGTTACATATAACACAATTTTAGATATAAAAAAGTAAAGAAAAATTGATTTCTTGATATTTATCCTGATTTAATTTATGTTTATATATTAAATATTTTTATATTAAACATAAATACTAATAAAAAAGAAAATCTAACCTAAATTAAAAACCAAAATATATACAAAGTATATAAAAAAATTGATTTTTTCAAGTTAATATGTAAATGTACATATATATATAAAAGCTTATATATAAAAATAACTTGCCATAACTATAATGAACAAGTTCTGAACAAGTACTTTTAGTTTAGTAAAGTTTATAATATTTATTCGCTTAAACTTATGAGTTTTTTACTTTGTGGTTGTATGTTAAATTATTCATTATAACATTCACCCAAATTCTAGAATATTTATGCCAGAAGTGCATGAAACTCAGTATAAAAATGAAGCAAGAACAAGTTTTGGTATTATTTTGGTATAACTTTTGAGTTACAGAACTTTTTTTTTGTTTACTAAACATTTTTAACTTTTAAGTAAACCTAATAACACATTAATGTTAAATGCTATAGAACTAGCAGTAATAGTTCTATAAAGATATAATAAAATAAAAAAGAAGTTATAAGTACATGCGAAAAGTTACAATTTTACATTCAAAGTAAATTTTAATAATGTATCTAAAATGAAGGGAAAGTGTTCAGTTACAAGAACAAATATAAAATTAACATTATTAAATAAATAAAGATCTAATAAAATGTCGCTAAAACTGAAAGGAAGAAATCGGAGGTTTATATAAAATCAGGGAATAGCAATGTTAAGATACATATTAGTTTAACGAAGTATATAATCAACACAAATTGTAACAAAATTTTGCCAGACAAAATAATAACTTAAATAGATCAAAAATCAAGGAATTGGAACATGTCCAAAATATTCATCTATCTCATTTTGGACGAACAATTGGACATTTTGGATTTATCATGTATTGATCATGATAAATCCAAAATTACACGTAATTACAAAGTCCTGTTTTGATTTTGGTCAGGCCAACCATTATCCATATTCACCTGATTTGACCACATATTCCATTTATCTGTTTTTATTGAATAAAAAACTATTCAAAAAGCTGACATTCTCAGGTTTATATAAAATCAGGGAATAGCAATGTTACGATACATATTAGTTTAACGAAGTATATAATCAACACAAATTGTAAAAAAATTTTGCCAGACAAAATAATAACTTATATAGATTAAAAATCAAGGAATTGGAACATGTCCAAAATATTCATCTATCTCATTTTGGACGAACAATTGGACATTTTGGATTTAAAATGTATTGATCATGATAAATTCAAAATTACACGTAATTACAAAATCCTATTTTGATTTTGGTCAGGTCAACCATTATCCATATTCACCTGATTTGACCACATATTCCATTTATCTGTTTTTATTGAATTAAAAACTATTCAAAAAGCTGACATTCTCAAAGATAGTGACTTCAGACTCAAAAACTTCACTGCTATACATCCAAATGTTATGCAATTTGGGGCCTAATGCAGGATGTAACCTCAATATATAGGTCTCTATGTGTTGTTTACTTTGGAAAGTAGCTTGTATAAAACATTTTTTTTTGTCAAAAGGTTAAAGTTGAAGTAAAATTACATCGAAAAAATATCTTTTTTTTATTAATTTTTTTTTCAAACTAATTTTCCGTTGCAGACTTAATACCAAAATAATAGCTAAGATAAGATTTAGACCTATGATTTTATTTTATTTTATTTTCTTCTGTTACTTGAATAATAAATGTAAACTTTTTTTTAAAAGAAAAACTACACTTTGTAAATAAACCATAAACAAAAAAAATGCAATTAAATAGAAAAAATTTTCATTATTTGTCACGTTCGCATATAATATCTACACCTTTATTGGCACATACTTTTTCTAATCATCTGCAAACTCAACTTGATGGTTGGTTGTGAGTAATTTTCACTATTTTTTTATACATCGGAATAGTTTAATGATTTATTCTTATCATTGCTCATTTATTTATAATGTTTTAAAAAAATTTTATTTTAGACTTTCCTTGATAGTAAAAATTGTACTTAAAGCTTGTAATTATCAGCTTAGGCGAAAGTTTATTTACTTAGCATATTTTTGCGAAAAAAAAAAAAATGTTTAACTAATATACAAAATTATAAAAATTTCTTAAATTTTAATATATAAAAAAAATCCTAACAAATATTTAAACAATTTTAATGACTATAATATTTTTTGATAAAAAGTTATCTATTTCAATCTTATTCTGTCTATTTCTAGCGCATATCTATTAAACTGCGTAAAAAAATTATCTACTTAATTTTTAATAGCGTTCATTTGTTAAACGTTAATATCTAATAAAAAAAATTATTAAAAATCAAATAAGATAGCCAAAAAATATATATGATAAGAATTAAAGCAAGTCGTTTATCTATGGAGCTGTCTATTATACGCAATGATGAGACTCTATCGAGTGAGGAAGAGTGACGAATTGTAAAAAAATTCGTAATTTATTTATTTCGTTCTTATCAACAATAATAAATTAAATTTAATATCCAAATATAGATTGTTTAAGGACTTCCATGGACGACAAAAGTTTTGAATAAATATATCACCGCTATATTAATGAACCTTATATTGACTATTTACAAAAGATCTGAGCAGGTGTTTGAAAAGTTATTTCACACGATATAATACATCTTTATTAAATGATTATTAGAGTAATATAAACATATATATTTATAAAATTTTATATTTATAAAATCTGGTATATTTTAAATAGGATTTGATATGGAAATTACAAAATCACAGTATTTTGGCAATTAATAAAAATCCACTTTAACTAACATATTTTAAAAAATGTTATTGAAGATAATGCCTGAACGGCAACGGTCTTAAGATCGACTTTTGAGAAATGCTGGTTTAGACGTAGAAAACATGGCACCTATTTCGACTGTACGTA